ACATATTACCTTACAGCTGTATGTTACATATTACCTCACAGATGTATAATATGTAGTACCGGTACCTCACAGTTGTATGTTACATATTACCTCAGATGTATAATATGTAGTACCGGTACCTCACAGTTGTATGTTACATATTACCTCACAGATGTATAATATGTATTACCTCACAGTTGTATGTTACATATTACCTCACAGATGTATAATATGTAGTACTTCACAGTTGTATGCTACATATTACCTCACAGTTGTATGTAACATATTACCTCACAGATGTATGTTACATATTACCTTACAGCTGTATGTTACATATTACCTCAGATGTATAATATGTAGTACCGGTACCTCACAGTTGTATGTTACATATTACCTCAGATGTATAATATGTAGTACCGGTACCTCACAGTTGTATGTTACATATTACCTCACAGATGTATAATATGTATTACCTCACAGTTGTATGTTACATATTACCTCACAGATGTATAATATGTAGTACCTCACAGTTGTATGTTACATATTACCTCAGATGTATAATATGTAGTACCTCACAGTTGTATGTTACATATTACCTCACAGATGTATAATATGTAGTACCTCACAGTTGTATGTTACATATTACCTCAGATGTATAATATGTAGTACTTCACAGTTGTATGTTACATATTACCTCACAGATGTATAATATGTAATACCTCACAGTTGTTGATAACATATTACCTCACAGATGTATAATATGTAGTACCTCACAGTTGTATGTTACATATTACCTCAGATGTATAATATGTAGTACTTCACAGTTGTATGTTACATATTACCTCACAGATGTATGTTACATATTACCCTACAGTTGTATGCTAAATATTACCTCACAGATGTATAATATGTAATACCTCACAGTTGTATGTTACATATTACCTTACAGATGTATGTTACATATTACCCTACAGTTGTATGCTAAATATTACCTCACAGATGTATAATATGTAATACCTCACAGTTGTATGTTACATATTACCTTACAGATGTATGTTACATATTACCCTACAGTTGTATGCTAAATATTACCTCACAGATGTATAATATGTAGTACCTCACAGTTGTATGATACATATTACCTTACAGCTGTATGATACATATTACCTTACAGCTGTATGATACATATTACCTCACAGATGTATAATATGTAATACTTCACAGTTGTATGATACATATTACCTCACAGCTGTATGATACATATTACCTCACAGCTGTATAATACATAGTAATCAAAGCTGTATGATATATGTACAGTACCCTGAGCTGTGTGATATATAATGCTCACAGCTGTATGATACATAGTACCTAACAACTATATAATACATATTACCCACATCTGTATGTATTACTTCATAGATTAGACTAGAGTGATGTTCACTCAGAAAGGAAGAGCACATGCCAGCTTAATTGTAATTTAAACATTTCCTCTTTGCTGTCGACTAAATAATAACTGGTTAATATGAACTTACAAAACTAATGAGTCAGTTGTATGATATCAAGTTCTGATTACAAACATAACCTTCACTATTTCACTGTAACAAGCAGAAGAGTTATATTCTATCAAATTCTACTAATAATTACAGTTTTACACAGAATAGTCACAAGCTGAAGGTAAGATGTGAAACAAAGCAAACAGATGCTGAACACTGCCCTGTTATTTCTGGTACACTAGGACTGACATTTGCCACAAATACCCACTCCCTCGGATACACACCATGCATGGAACGCTGCCTCCACGGCTTGCTGGGACGTCCACCTTACTGACCGTCCAGGCCTGTCCAGCCAGGTCCTCCTAACATGCAGCGGGTCACACAACTGGCCATGAGTCTCACCACAGGTGGCCAACCACCAGATTTAACATGGAAACTGGTGAGGTTTGTAATCCCTGATCTTAGCAGGAGCAGATCCGATCCTCACGCTGGATGAACAAGCTGAGGCATCTGTAAGATATCTTCCGTTTCCTTTGCACTGTCAGGTCAAGTGTGAAACTCCAACATGTTCCGCTAACCTATCCTACTTTATAACCACATTAGCATATGATGGTTTATTTTAGGGAATCTATTTCAAAACTCATCCATGCTGACAATAGCTGTTTGAATGGATTTAGGACAGACACGTCTTTTTTATGTTAATACAGAAGTATATTAATACAAGACTATACTGCTATTGATTTCTTCAATAAATGTTCTTGGCAAACGTGAAATAATTCATTCACAGATGTAGCCAATCAGGCCTGTTATATCACATGTTGTAAACACAGACAGCTTAACGAGGGCTGCAATTTAAAAATAGAAAAAAACACCTATTTATAACTTTGTTACCATATGTCTTAGGTTTATGGTGGGTGAAAAATTTGATAATAGGCTTCATGTTAGAGACGTCTGCCCTTTTCATGACACAGCTATTTGTTAAATGACATCGGTTATTTGAGGTTAGATTTCTCATTATGCATGAGATCAATATCACTAACTGGTCTGTCAAACTTGGCACACGTATACATACAATAACAGTAATTACAATACACCTCGACTGACAAAGCTTACGTCTAATGTTTCAGTTGTAATCAAGAGAGTCTGCGTATACAGGTACATTTTACAGCCAGTTATATTTTTGTTTTTCCATCATGTATCAAACTGTTGTTTGTTTATCTGTATTAGGGAATGTGAGACAGGATTTCAGATTTTTTATTTTATTTCCAAAGTTAATAAATGTCTTTAATAAATTTAATGTCTTGTCTGCCCCCTTCGTATCTGGCCCAGTCCCTCACACAGCACCGCCCATGTCGCTCTCTCCGTTCACAGGATAAACGTTTCCTCGTTATCGCCACTGTTAGGACTTCTACGTGTGGTGAAAGGTCCTTTTCGTATGCAGCCTCTACAGCCTGGAATCAACTACCTCAATATCTACGTGACTGTACAGAACTTTCTAATTTTAAATCTTTACTAAAGACGCACTTTTTCAGATTAGCTTATGAGTGTAAACTATAATTCATTGCATTGTTTCCATGTATCTCTCTAATCTTTTATTCTCTCCTATAGTCTGTTTGTATGTACTTCTATGTCTTGCGCTTTGAGCATGTTGCACATGGAGAACAGCGCATTACAAGCATGCTATTATTATTATTATTATTATTAATGAGAAATTAAAATTTCAAGTTTTCCAATATATTTTAAGTCTATATTTTCCAAGACATGTAATTCTGCTCTCAGAAAGGAGCCAAACAATTATATATATTTCATAAACACCTCCAGAGGGCAACTACAATCTTATTTCAGAAGGTGCTGTGGACTGTTGAATATCTACATAATAAACCCCTTTTGCTGGTCCATATTCTCTAAAAACACATGGACAACGTTCGGTATGACTCATATGCACTAGTAATATCTGTTTACATATAAAATACTTTGTAATAAAGTACATGCCAGACAAATTCTGACCAATCCCTGTAATCTGGATAATACCCCCCAGGCCCATACACTCCCCATTTCACCACCAGGTGGTGTGGTGCTAATTACTTCACCCAGACGATGAGCGGCACACTTGGTCCATGTTTTCCACTGACATAATACTGGCTCCGTGTCTAAACAAACACCACCACTGGTGGGCTCTTCCCGCCAAATAGGAACACAACTGAAAGACTTCTGATACTGAAATAAACTTTTCCATACTCTAATATGAATAAACTTCAAAGTGCAGCTGAGATGGAACCATATTGGAGTGTAACAGTATAGTATTGGTTCAAATTCATTGAACCAATATTCCAGACAGTGGGACGAAGCTGGATAGGGTGAGTGAGTGAGTTGGGTTTTACGTCGCTTTTAGAAATATTTCAGCAATATCACAGCAAGCGACCCCAGAAATAGGCTTCACACATTGTGCCCATACGGGAATCGAACCGGGTCTTTGGTGTGACAAGCGAACACTTTAACCACTAGGCTACCCCACCGTCCCCAAGCTGGATGGGAGATGTTGGAGAGTGAATGTTGAGTATATATGTAGCTCTGTGTGAACTAGCAGACGTGTTTTATGATACAGGGTAGGGGCAATCACTTCAAACTGTATCTTTACATGTGCTGTCTTTCATTGTCTCATGTATGTGTAACAGGAATTATATATTCACATACGCTTAAACTTTGCATGAATCCCATCTTCATCGACATATCACATTACAACTAATCCACATTATGTTTCTTGCACAAACTTAAAAATAATTCTTCCCAAATAAAAAATGTTGATTACTGAAATCTGACACAAACATGACGACATGAGTGTCAGCCTGTAGTAAGAGAGTCTGATTGTGAAATGTCAGCATTTATTTCTGTCTATATCACTGAATATAATACTGAAATGTCATAGGTATGGTGTTCACTCAAAAGTTATCATCATAGAATACAACATATCTTTTCCGCTGATTGTAGAACTGAAATGTCAAAGGTAGTGAGTCGATTCAAAAGTTACCATCAGAGAATACAATGTGTTCCAGCTGAACTATGTAGCTTAGCTTGAAGTCATTGTATTCTCTGATGATAGCTCAAACAACAGCTATGGTGTCTGTATTCACCTTTGTGGTGGTCTTCATTAATACCTGTCCAATGGAACTGACATGGTGATCTGTTTGATCCACCCTGCATGTTTTGTACCAGGTTTAATGATCTACACTGAATCCATTTTCAAATATATTGGAACAAAATCCCATGACATGGGATAAATTTTATCACCCCACAAGTACTGTACAATGTTCAGAGTAGAGAGTGAAAATATGCAGATTATGTAATGCGTGAAACATACTCGCTCCCTCCCTCTCTCTCTCTCTTTCTTACTCTTTCACTCTCTATACATATATATCACTTTATATATATATCATTCTCTCTCTCTCTCTCTTTCTGTAACATACTGAACATCTGTGTAGCAGTAATGGACATGGCACTTTTGCCAGAGTGTGTAAACATGGTACCTACCTTCTTTTCATAAGTCTCAAATAGTTTGTCCTCAGTATCACTTTCCTCATCACTGAAGTCTTCAAAACTCATATCCGACTCGGACCAACTGGAGTCAAACAACTCTGCTGGACTCATAGGTTGCACCGATCCTCCCTCCATATTGAATCCCGAATCCTCCTCTCCGCAGTGACAACTGCCATTCACAACAGGCTTTTTCACACTGTCACATAGAGAGGTCTTTTTCGATGATTTTAACACTGGTGATTTGTTTGCCGATCGGGGCCCGCTTCTACATAGACAGGCATTTTCCCCCTTCTCCGCATTGGGTAATGTTAACTTGGGTTTGGATTTTCCATTTTCACTGGGTGACTTTTCTAAGTGAGGTTTCGGGGACTTCACTGGTGGTTTTTCTTTGGGCAATGGAGTTTCAATGGTGTTTTCGGACAAGTCATTGTCCTCCTTATCGGTGCACGTGTCCTCATCTTCACCGTCTAACGGGCAACGGGTACTATTAATCCGCTCCACTAACGCACGTACATATCCTTGTGACATCACTGTTTTTGCAAACTTTTCATCCCTTGAAATGCTATAGTAACTTTTGATTAGTCTGTGGAACTTGTTATCTCCCTGATCATGAGGACCACAGATAGGTTTACATTCAACACTGGGTGACGTCGGAGTTGACTGGTGACCCTTTTTGATATGACACAATGACGATTTACGCTGCAGAGGGGGACTATCATGCACTACATTATAAAGTCGCTGGAAATTTTCACACCTTTTTTGCACAATTCCCGACCGTAGGGGAGAGCTGGGCGTGGACCATGTTCCTCGGGGGTGACAGGGAGGGGAACTGGTTATTGATGAATTTGTAGGGGTAATGGACCCCTCTGAGCAGTCAGTCTCTCCATCCAATGACTCCGGCAAATCTGAGTCAGTGTGGTCTTCAGCTGAGCAGACGGCTCGTGCATACGTGTCGTCTGCTGCCACCTCATTGACACTATCCCCTGCAGCACTGTCCCCTTGTATCAACCCGTTAGTTCCAGACTTCACCCCAGTTTTCTTCGCACTGGTAATTATACGCTCCAAAAATTTCGGCTTTGAAGGAACTGGAAAAAGAAATATGACCTCATCATTATTAGTATCAAAATAATAATAATTATTCCAAAATTTCCTTCGAATCCATGACGAACACATTGTCAAGTATCCTGCATCCCAGCTCGCGTCTGTCACACAGTTATCATCAAGTGAACAGAAACTTACCTGATGGCCTGGGTCGGATAATCACAACATCAAAGGATTACCTGAATTCTCTTCCTCAACTAATGGACATACCAGCTTAGTTTACAGGGAAATAGTTTCCAGTGAAACACATCCGATCTGTGTCAGCTATCTCAAAACACACAGCACATGCATGTGCGTGACCCCTTTCTTTCTCTGACATGCACATGCACAAAGTGAGCGTCTGATTGTGAAGCCCCTTCTCTCCGAGGAGGCACTGAGAGGCGGAGATAATAGCGTCTGTATTGTTAGGTTCTGGGGCAAGTGGCATCAGTCAGAAATAGGCTGTGATTCATAGCCAAACCAGTGGTTTTTCTAATGGGGAGGTCACAGACCATCTTAAATAGTCTAAGTATTTGTCAAATTGAAAAGGTATGAGCTGTCTCTCTCATAAATATAACAAATAGTTGTACTGAAAATATAACATATGTGCCTTGATTAATGAGTTATTTTGGATCGTGACTATGATACCATCAAGAGGTATACACTGTATCTAGTATCTATATACTATGTAATCACAGGAACCTTCCTGTCATGTACCAGTCTGTCACCACGAAACACTCACCATACACTGTGTAGATACAAGCTACCCATATTATATCAGATCTATATTTCATTGTAAAATTAATCAGCATTGTTTCTCACACTTCAGTGAAAAGAATCGGGAGCCAAACTTCAGAACTAGTGCTTTCACCATATCAAAACAAGTACTCCTTGTCAAACAACACAAACACAGTAAGGTCCAATAGTTTCTACTTCACTTGGAATCTAAATATAATGTGAAAAGATGTTAGGAAGTATTTACATAAGTATTACTGAGGGCCGGAGATCAACCAGTACTCACCAACAAACAGACCATATCACCCCAGAAATACATCCTTGTTCATCAACCGTTAGTCTCTACATCTGGCCAAATATGATCCTCTCTCCACTACATTATACCAGCGAGCAGCACAATATGGCCTACAAACACTTACCTTGTCTATATGGTACAAAGAGTGAACACCTCTATTGTGTTTTCCCCATTACTCCCTGTATACCTGTCCAAAGCCCTCACATGAGTGAACACATAACCGATATACCCCTGGATGCTTGCCACACGTATGACATAACAATATCTTTAATCTTCCTGTTTGGTGAGCGTCAGTTGACATGAATTCCCTGTATCCTGCTGTCAACAACACTGACATTCAAATGGGGACATCTGCACTTCAACTATGTTCTCTTTCCACTGATTCATTTTTCATTTCAGCTGCTTCAAATCCTACATGCATATCCTTGTTCCTGACGATGCCAAGAAGTGTATAAGTGACACAGGCTCTCAGGGGTCATTATAACTTGAATAACATTTCATCTCTAAAATATATAATTTGATAGAAACAAGCTACTACATATATACAGAATAACAGCCTCTGAGAGACGGGAGACAAGACCTGGTGAAAATCTAGAATTGCTGCATGTTCAGCTTTTGTATTACAGAAAGGGCTGGGTGAAGTGAACAGAGTACGGTTCAGGGACCATGGGACAGACTACATTGCCACTAACAACTATATTTAGGGCCAGTGAGCACAATCTAAGCTCAGACTAGAAGCTGATAATATAAGGATTACTGTTAAGATTTAGCCCAAAACTCAACTGCAACTATATTTAGGATTGACTATGGATTTTGTTTATAATTATCTCTGAGCCATTCTTTATAAATGGCAGGCAAATTATACAGGAATACACAGTCAGTCGTCATGATAATCCGCACTGATTTCATACTGATTTTACAGTTAATATGTTCCTGTTTGAGGGGAAGATGTGATTGTGTGCACTGTTATATGATATAATCTCATTGGAATCTATTTGTCATCTCTATATATCAATATGGAGTTCAATAACATGAGATAATGCAACAGAAAAAATCCTCAAAATTGCTTTCATAATTATCTAATGCCAAGATAATATACTGCTCACACTTTGCTAAGGATCACATAAATTCAAAACTTTACTTAAACGTAGATTTATAATTTGAAACTGGATTCATTTAGAACTGGATAAACAATAATATGGTAACACCTCTTTAGGCAAACAGCCACTTTAACCTAACCTTATGCACTTGTTACATGAGTAACTATAAAAACGGTTTTCATGGCACCAATCAACCATTTTGCAAATCATGGAACAAGTCATTGACAAATAAACAACACATGTCAATAACAGGTATAGGATCCACAAGATGCAATGCCATACTGAAACCTTGGATCCATGCTTACAATAAGCTTAGATATTTAAACCAAATTTGACCCCACATCATAGTTTTCTGTTGTATCCATGATTTGATCCTTAGCAAAGTGTGAATAGTATATATGACTCTCAGTCTAAGGCTGCCTGTTTTCATATCCAATTTTCATTGTCACTTGAACATACCTTGTCTGTTTTAAGTTGTTGGAAGAGACATTAATACAAATCGAATTTCTCCCCATTTGTTATCATGGTGGAAGTTCCAAAGCAAGATCCACTAGTGATAAGAAATAGGTCACAGATTTCACGATCCACCATGAATCACAGTCTTACCTATGTATATGAGGTGAAACTGGAACAGTCAACCCTATGTAGGATACTAGGTGACTTGATAAACTCCCTGAGAAGCACCTGTCAATGTCAGACACAGTATAAGGTGTATCCAGGAAGTTCAACGGCCACTAAATCACTGTTTACACATGTCGTGTACTGCCAGTCAAGCACCATATTGCAGTCCTGCATATGTTTACCCAGTAAAGACTGCATGTACCATATGGTGTCTACCAAGGAATGTGCCCTACTTCACCAATACCACACAGACCCAGTGTACACAGGCTGACCTCCAGCTGCCCGCTGCCCAGCTGGCTGACCACCCCCACACACAACATGACATCACACGGATTACAATAAAGCAATTAATAACCATTGATTTGGTCCTGAAAATTAACCTCCTTACAATGACACTATGGAAACAGTTTAAACAAGGATCAGCTACATTGAGGGAGAGCTGTAACTATTGATGTTGCCGATGTAGTCAAAGTATGTCCACCATGTCGCTGATTCAAGCATAACAGGACCCAGATGTGTTGGTATGTAAATTATGGATTTAACAGGAAAGTAGTATTTACTGTATTCTTCACTAGCTCCAGGGATATCACCTCTCAAACACGAGCTCCCCACTCTCACACACAACACACAGGGGGAAGAATGCCATTATGCACCACACAGACAAATAATATAAGACTGCCATAACTCTATTTTCATCTGAGAAATCAATCGACGAAAGGCAATACGCCAGTGGTGAATAGATTCCAAAATGTAAGTGTACACCCTTGACTACATCATTTGACAGCGAGTCTTTGTATTCGGTGGCGGACTGGTCTACATTAGGTTGGACGTTGTTGTACGTTCGATATATTCAAAAGAAAATAGAGACTGGACACAGAGTGATCAATGGGCAAAACTTACTGAAGATAACAGAATATTATCGTTTTTCTTGAATATCATGTTTAACGAGTAGAGTGGTTGAATAAATCCGTTTAAATGATATAAGCTTTTATCAGAACAAGTGGGCTGAGTTTTATAGTCACATAGACAGTATTTCAGCCCTATTGTGCCTAAAAAAGTCACACATTTATGGTAGCTCTTACTAGAGTCAAACATATCTGTAACCTTTGTATGCGAAATATACCCAGATGGAAATGTTTGTTTGTTACAAATGTTTTTGTACATTGTATTTTGACGTTTTATTCAGAGTGGATTTCACAAGTTACATCCAATCACTGAGTCTTCAAATATACCAGCAGAATAATTCTCAGTAATTCTGAAGAAAGAAGTTTTAGAAAGTGGTCCTATCCAACCAAACATGCTTCACATTGACAAATAGTAATAATCAAACAAAAACACTTTGTATTAGTGGATATCTTGTCCTTCAACCAGGAAGAACATTAGCTGCAGCAGATTTCTACATATACAGTTACAACAAGTACAAACCATCAGACTGAAGCTAACGGTATAGCTAACGCTGGACCATGATCAGTACAAAACTGTTTTGAAGACAAGTAATGTCTTTTCATCTTCTAGTTCACACGATCATTTGATGTCATCCAACTCTGGTGTATGGACCTGACATTCCACATATGAATCATATGTACTATTGTTTATAGATGGTTGTGCTATTTCCCTGACAACATCTCTCACTAGCATGCTGTGACTCATTGTAAACTGTTGGTATGGTACTGATCTCCTCTGTTTATTTGGAAATTTAATAAATACAAGTAAAGTTTGTAGTGTTTGTTGTTTCATGCCACATTCGATATTCCAGCGACATATAGTAGCATGTGAAATTGTCTTAAAATATTGCTGGACAGTTGGGCATGCAAGTCTAAACAGTTACCAGCCAGTTTGAAATATCTATAGCTAAGTGAAAGTTTCTTTTTCAGATATTTGATTCTAGTAAGGTATCAGTAAATTAAAACCAAACTGCAAAATATGAGTTGAATAACATAAAGGGAAGTAACTCTGATCTTGCAATCTTGTTTCGCAAATAATATTAATTTCATCTATAATTTTGGACAGTTGATCTTCAGAAACAGGAGAACCTTATTTTGTATTTTGACCAACTAAGAGGTTTGCATAACAAGGACACGGTTAAAACAAAAGCAGCCATTTCCATTAGCCGTGCGGACTGACATTTAGCTACACAGGCTAGCTGACATGTGGCTGTATTTCCCATTGGCCACAGGACAACAGCCTGTAAATATCAATTCTAGACCAGACAATCCAGTTATAGATATTATGAACCCTGTTTCACACCTTCGGA